TCCAGTCCTCTACTGTTCAAACTAGGAAGGCAGATAACCAACATGTTTCGCCCAAAATGAAAACAGAATTCCACCAACTGAAAGACTTGGTTAGTATTTTAAATGACCGTACAAAAATTAGTCTCCCATTAAGCTGGGCATCCTGTGCAGACAAACCCCACCGAGGACCGCCTGCACTTCAAACGGACAAGATCAAGAAGCAGGCAGGGAGGCAGCATTGCCGATACGCCGCACTGAGGGCAAATCGAGGCAAAATGAAGCCACTTGCTCAGCCTCACACAGGTCTATAGCAGTCCCGAAAGCAAATTCAGGCTTCGCACATCCTAATCTAATTCCCTACTTTCCTTGCTATACTTCGAATGTTTTTGCAAGAATGGGGGAAAAACCCCTGCCCAATCAGAAAGTAAGCTAAAATGAATTCATATATTTCAACAGTCCACTGACCACACACAACACTTTCTGGCCACTACCAACAGAAGTTAGACTTGAACTAGTGACCTCGAGGTGAAAAGGTTTATATCCTGTTACCAGTCCCCTGAGACATCTAATCACTTTGCCGAGTCTCTTTGAACAATATGATTATAAGGTCTTTAATTACAGAAATGCTCAAATAACAACATAGATTATTACCTTTCCCTAAGAGGCAACAAGGTCTCAGCTTCCCTCTATTTTTAGCTGGGGAAGAACTAGCCCTATATAAGAGATTCCAATTATAATTGGTTAATTTACCAAGGCCTAATTCTAACATAATCATTAGACAGATGCTAGCTGTTAAAGAAGGGGACGGAGAAGGAGTGAGAACAGGATAGGAGGGGACTGGTGTTCAGGATGCAGTATATTACTCCTAAGAGCCTATACCATAAATATGAGAAGGCAAACACAGACAGACTGTCAAAAAGGAACTGCCTGAAGACAAAACGGTTCTCCAGCACCACGTGGAGCCAGCTGCATTATTCAAACTCTCTTATCACCAAAGCAAGAGCAACAGAGGAAACACTGAAGGGAAAAATAGTGTGAGCTTTCCTAATAACTTGATAATTAAGGTTTCTTTCTTTCAGGTGGGGAAGTTAATGGGAGATGTTTAGAAAGCATGCTGGCATTATGGAGATGCAAGAATGTCTCCGAGCCTGGCTCATTCCCTGAGGAATCTCCGTGCAAGTGCTTTCACTAACAAAATCAATCCAAGAGATAAAAAGAAGAAAAAAGGAAAATAAAAGAAACCGTGTGTAGGCAAGATCTATACATCCCCTCACCCTTCACGTTCTCAACTGTATCAAGCTATGCAAACAAGCACCTGGCCCGAGTTACTTGAAAGGAGGAAAACACGTTCCTTCTTTAAGCCTTTCTGCTGATGGCAACACCTGTCTCAAAGATGCTCTTGATGCAAAAAGAGAGAGGAGCCAACAAGACAAATCCTTTCCATATTTCAGGATATTTGTTTTTAGTATTTCCCTGCTCCTGGAGGAAGAAGTCTTGGCAATGCAGAACCCACTATGAAGGCAAGCCCACCATGCTGACTGAGGGTGCAGACCATCTCGGGAGTGCTGCTGAGCAGAAGCAAAATCCACTGCAGCAAAGCAGCTACGTTGTGAATATTGCCCCTGAGCTGTGATTTCCTGAGGGATAAAGCACTGGGTACCCGCTTCTTATTGACCTTCAGTGGGATTAGAGTCACAAACAGCCTCAGACTATGCCATTACCATTATAAAGGGAAGAGGGCTGCAGAAATTACCCATACTAATCTTTCAGCTGCATTCGGGAAATATACCACTTCAAATCTGAATCAGCTCACTACCAGATACAGAGAACGCGAGACACATACCAACTCAAGAAAAGATACCAGCAATATCTCCTGTTTCCGAGTAGCTTGTTAATCCTAGATAAAGGTCTTTCAGATTTCAAGTAGTAAATCATAAGCGCAACAGCCGTGATAACGCAGTGGCCAATGCAGAACTTTGCATGTTTACCTTCCCAAGTTAAGATCCATGCTGCACTGCCTGTACTGCTGTTGCAGCCTCGCTCAGGCATTTCCACACAAAGTACCCTTACTGTAATTTAGACACATCCTTTAGGGTGAAATGTTTGCCTCTGACGAATAATAGTAAATAAATTAAAAACCCCAAGAGTCTAACAGTTTAAATACGTTGCCTAACATGATTTTACTCTCATGATAACCAGGACCTGGGAGGTCCTGCAAGAGGACCTGACTCCAGAGTTTTAAGCAAGGGAGCTTGAAGCAATTACGTGGTTAAAACAAGACACAGACTGTCCGGATCTACACCTGGTTACAAGTGAAGCACTCACCCTTCATCAAAGCTTTCATTCTTGACTTACAGATCTCTGTGTTCAAGAGCACTAGAATATAAATGGATGGCTGCAGACCAAATTAACAAAAACACCAGAAAAGAGCATTAGACAAACATTTGTTGTGCTAGAGAAGAAAATCTGCGGCAGAAGATGCCACATACAACAAAATGATTAAGACTGCACTGTCTAGCTGATTTTTCCGAAACATAAAAGGATCAGAAAGGCAGCATAACACCTAACACACTGGAATACTGGACTCAGCTGGAGCTTCGTAGCAAGTTAGCAGCCCTGCCTCTTTCCAGGCACCTCGCAAAATGCCTTTGATTTGACGAGGGTTTGATGGTGACTGCAGAACAGGAGGAATTCTGCGGAGGGTACGCTTGTTGACAGAATTCACGTGTCACTGCCCTGGCTACAGGTGTGGGCACACAGAATTGCTGCTCCCTGCTTTGCTGAGCTAGCTGGCAGATCCTCATTTCTTCCAACAACGAGTGACACTCTAAATCATTAAGTATCCTATCAGCTTTAAGAT